CTTAATAAATCATAAAATCCCAACAAGCACTGATTTTTTCATTTTTTTTTTTTTTATTTCGAATGGCGCTTTTCGAGCGCAAGAGGTTAATTATATTATGCTTATTAATTATTTCATCTATTAATATAAATGCAATATTATTGATGATATTTACACATATAATTAATAAAAATACTAGAAAAAAGTGCTAGGTTCAAATAAATAATTACTCCAATTCTCCTTAGTAAATTTTTATTTTGATTAAGTCAATTTTACTTTAATCAAGTAAGTATTATTTGATTCAAATAAAAATTTGCTAATGAGTATTCCAGTAATTAATTACTTGGATCTGGTACTTTTTCTGTGTATTATTGATTATATACATATTAGAATTATATCAAAACATTCGAGAAACTACAAGTCATAAATATCGGTCGAGATACAGCGAAGCTACTCACGATTACCGGCGGTCCTGAAAAAATTATCAGCCCCGACCTTTGAGTTTCCCTTTTGAAATAGGAATGGCCGTGGTGTTAATTCATCGGTTGATTAAAACACCGCCGACCGGATCGAGTTTCTCGCGGACACTTTCGAGCCGTACCTACCGCAAGAACCTCTTCGTTTGTCCGGCTGAAGGACGCGTGTACACGTGAGTTGCGTGCACGCGCATAATACCAAATATCTCGGAATTCACGAGGTGACTGAGAGAAAAAAAAAGAAGAAGACCAGAAGAGAGACTCTGCGCGAGCCAAGTTCCGAAATCGCGCCCATCGATGTGCCCCAAGTCGCGTCAAGAAGCACCGGGGAACACTCGTCCGATCTGTACATCCGCCAAACGGCGAACACACGCACGTGTTCCTGATTCGAGGACACAAAAGCGGCATGTGGGATTCGCGTGGGTGAACGAAGCCGCCGACTCTTACGTCTAACTCGTTCAGCGGACCACGGTGCTTGAATAAGATTTCTTCTTCGCGAAACGAGACGGATCATCGTCGGAAGAAACGAAATTCGCAAAATTTCGCAACGTAAATCTTTCGAAAAACCTTGAAATTATTAACGAATTATAAAAAGAAATATTAAAGAAAAAAAACGTTAAGAATAAAAATAGCGAAAATATAGAAGAGATGCAAAAGGCACCACGAGAACGATGACGGAGAGAGAAAGAGAAAGAAAGAGATAGGGGTGGCAAAGATGAGAGGGTTGGAGAACGATCTGGCTCGTCTCGCGAAGAGAGGCGAGCACTTCGCGAGAGAAACGAGTCGCGAGGCGACCGCCGCCGCCGCGCTTAACGAATTTATGTTACTCGTACTTTTAATGTTTTTTATGGCGCGACACGAGCTGCGCCGAGAGATAGCAGACAGCATAACAGGATCTTATGTCAACGACGGTGGTCTCCGCGCCGCGCCGCGAGCTTGTAATATGTAGATACTGCCCACCACCGAGAGAAACCCCATAAGGCCCGCGCGCGGAGTAAGCGAAAGAGCGAGAGAGAAAGAGAGAAAGACCACTTACGGGAAAAAGGGGGGAACCATCTTTACCCCCGCCTGCCTCTCCGCCAGCTGTCCTCTTTCCTCTCTCTCTTTCTCTCTCTCGCGCGCGGTGCCGCATATGTGGACGCTATATAGACGTCTCGAGAGCGACTCGTGGCGTCTCGACTTCCTTTTACTTCTTCTTCTGCTTCTTCTTCTTCGTCCTTTCGGTTTCTTTCTCGAAACGGTCGGTGAAAATACCGGTGTGCGCTCTCTCGCTGCTATACAGGGTGTGCTGTAATTCGTGAACTTGACGCTGTATTTTGCTAAAGGAGACTTCAAAGTCTCTTCTTCAAGAGAAACTTCCTCCGAAATTGCCTTCGCATTTGTTGCTACTCTTCGGTGGAAAAAAAAATGGTCAGAAGTCTGTGAGAAAAATACTTGGCTCTTTTGTCTATTCATCCGGCTGAACTTTCGTTCACGAAGAATCGCATTTTTTACGATCGCTCCTAATTGGGCAAGCTGTCGGCGTTTCAAAATTCATCGGATGTTCTGTCTTCAAAACGGCATGTTGCAGGACACCCCGTATGCAGCCGTTTCACACTCCCTGAAAGGAGACTCCTTGCACAGGCGAGAATGGAGATTCTCGACCGCACGTTGCGCCCGATGTGTGGCGCGTCGCGTTCAGTGATACGTTGATTTTCGCGTGTTACACGAGGTAAAACGGTACAATTAACAGGATGTCTTCGACTTGATTGCGTAACGTCCGAAAGGAATAATATCCGGGGACTCATTCGGACCCGCGAGGGAGAGCATAACCATCGACCGATTGTTCGACCGGCGTCTCGTATATATTTCTCCGAGAAAAATGACGAGCAGGGTGGCGGTCGCGTAGGTTTTTCTTAGAAAAGCTGAAACGTGACACTTGACAAGCTCCACATTTCTATAATTTGAAGAGTTACATGACCGTTGAAATCATCGGTCCTACTAAAACTGTCCACGTTTCCGTTCCTAAGCAACCCAGGGGTTCGAATCTTTGGCCTTTAGCGTATACTCATGAAAAGTGACAATTTCCTAACTCAAAAGCCGAACTTTGAGAGTTTTTACTTTTCCCAAATTCAAACTCGAAGTAAAGATTCATAATCAACGTTTACGAGCTCCATCGTGAACTTTCAATTTACACTCGTGAAAAGTCAAAAGATTCATAATCGACTCTCAGGGATTCGACCACGAACCTTTACTATTTACTCGTCAAAAGTGAACATTTCCTGACTCTGAGTGTCTTCACTTTTCCCGAGTTCCCACTAGAGAGGGAGAGATCGACCCTCAGAAGTTACATCCGGCGAATCGCGGAAGCGCGGCGGAGGACCTCACGAGCCCGCGCAGTGCGGCCCCCGCGGCGCCATGTGGCGGACTCGGATTGTCCGCGCGTCTAGAATTACCCGAGTCCGGTGCTGCCGCGCGGCCCGCGCGCCGCAAGAGTTAATTGGCCGGAAAACTTCGCTATCCGATACTCGGCTCGCGGCTACCGCCCCGAGATACGTTGCCGCGCGATCCATATTTTCGCCCATCGGCCGCGCGGGTGCACACGTTGCGCTCTCCCGAGATAACTGTACCTCGGCTGCCTCGTGCCTTCGTGAGGTCGCGGATCCGACTCTCCGTTTCGGCCACAGCGACTCGCGGGACAGGTCGCGACGATCGCGCGTCCGTGTGCGATGAAAAATTACACCTTGAAACTCTTCCGTAAACACACGGACGTGGACACCACGAACACCTGTACGCCGTCTGTACACAGGTAGAGCGGGTTTTGCGGGCGACCAGCGAGTACTTATTTACTGCAAATTTAATCTCGTTTGTTCGCTCGTCGAATCGGTCACGAGTACGAGAAACAATCTTCATAGAAATTTTTCCAGATTTTCCCATATATATATAGCAGATTCCCTAATTATAATATTAGAACCCCACGTTGTTTTAAAATGGATTATCTCTCTGCGATACCAATTGGGGGAATCCCATTTTTATTCTGAATATGGAATAAAATCTTTTTGCCACGATGAGCTGTGATGCTGATCAGCTGTTCGCTTGCTTCGTACGACAGTGTCAGAGTCGAGTGACAGTTTAATTGAATATTAGATTAGTAAGTTAATAAAGAGGATTATATTCTTGCGAATGGCGTGTGTGTGTACTTATAAAGTGTAAATATTTAAAGTGTTTCGTACTTTTTAATTTTGTTCAATCATAATGTAGTGTAAAATAGAATCTAGAAAAATTTTGGGAAAACGTTAAAGATGCCCAAAGGATCCTTTCATGTTTTCCACTTAAAATCGTACGTTTGAAATACTGGACCTCTAACCAAAGCCTATGTAGATTTCCCAATTAGAATCCATAATTATTTTAGGAAATCGAACTTCTAATTAGATCCCAAGAAATTTTCTACGCTGGAAGTAGAGACTCTTCGTCCAACTTCTCTCTCTCTCTCTCTCTCTCTCTCTCTCACACTCTCTTTTCCCCTATCTCTTCCTTCTCTGTTTTTTTCTTTCTCTCTTTTCCCCCTTTCGTCTTCCCTTTCAGGATTAGACGTATCTCTTCTTCCTTCCCTTCGTAAGATAGACATTGTTGCGGGTGGTCCACGGTACATATTGTCAGAGCGGCCACCAGGTAGTGCGCAACGTTGCCGCTTGCAATGTTGCAAACGCGGCTTTCTCCCCCTCCCCCCTCTCTCTCTCACTCTCTCTCTCTCTCCGTAAGGCCCAACTTCTCCTTGTACGATACACCACTCTCTTCGTACCTTTCTCTTTCTCTCTCTTTCTCTCTCTCTCTCTCTCCCTCTCTTTCTTTCTCTCTCTCTCTCGGTTTCGTTTAAGCAGCCGTAAGATCTCTCTAAAAGCCTGAACCGCCGTTCGCCCCTCTTGTTTCCCCCCCTTTTGTCCCTCTCGTTCCTGTCTCACCGTCTCACTCTCACTTTTTTTTTTCCCTTTCTACCATTTCCGCCACTTGTCATCCTGCAAGCCCACGCGACGAATTTAAAGGCCCCGCTGCGCTTGCTCCCTCTTCACCCTCCTCCTCACGTTTACTGCTCTCTCACAACGGGTGCGTTCACCGATTTTTCCCGGAAACCGGCTCTCTCTGCACCCGTTCTTATTCCACGTAACACCGGCGGAATTATTCCGGTCTACAGCTCGCACCAAAATCAGCGACACGGGTGAGTTCTGTTTTCGTCGCGGAAAAGGAAAGACACGATCCCGGGGGGACATTAAGACGCCTTAATGTTCTCTTCAAGACGTCTTCCAGACAATAAGACGTCTCCGAGGCGTCTCTTAGACACGCGTCTGTTGCCTTGTTAGGTCCACGGTAATTAGAAAACCCCCGTGGTCACGAAAATCGCTCTCGCAGCGTCCCATTTGTCCCATCGACACATCGAACACGTGCGTGCGTGAATGCGCCGAGAAAAAAGGAACCGTTGGATGGAGTGTACGGCGATGACAACAAGGGATTTCCACGCGATTCTTTGTCGAGAACAAGACATTCACGAGCTCTCGGTCTTCTTTTCAGGGGAAGGCGGAGGGTCAGAGGTCAGCGGTGTGGATCAGGGCGCGGCTGCAGGATCAACTGAGTCAGCTGGGTTACTTCCTGCAGAGGCATGCTGGGAAAGTGCTGTTCGTCGCGATCCTCGCGCTCGCGACGTTCTGCGTTGCCCTCAAATCCGCGCAGGTTCATAGCAAGGTCGAGCAACTGTGGGTGCACGGTGAGTGACTTTCATTTCCGTCCTTCCTTCCGCCCTCACTCTCGGAGGGTTGGCGATAGCCTCTGTCCCCGCGCTCGCTCGCTCGCGTCGATCGCGCACGCGTCAGTAAAAAATCGTCGCGGCAGCGTGGACAAATAAATCGTCCGCGGGAACAGAGAAAGAAGGATAGCCCCGCGGCAGCACGGTTAGGAGAGGTAAACGAGTCGAGGAGGAATCTCTCCCACCACGTGGTACATTAGTTACACGCTGGGTGGTCCTGCTATATTTACCCACGACCCGAACGCGTTAATTCGAACGACCATTGCTTAGCACGTGTGCTTAGCCGCGCGAATGAAAGCAGCCGCGAGGAAAAACCGAACGACGAGCTCCGAACATTTTACTCTCATTTCGTTTGCATAATTCGCGTTTGCAGTTATTCGCGTGGCATCGGCTCCTTCTCTCTATCTCTCTCTCTCTCTCTCTTTCTCTCTTTCTTCTACGCACTGCTCTCTGTCGCGCTTTATTTATAAGCGCCGAGCGAAATGCGCGCACGCGATACGTCCCGCGGAGTGTTGAGAGGATGGAAACTAGCGCTGTCAGTATAAACCGGCTATTTCTATGCCTGGGTACTTAAACTTACGGATATCACTCATATAGTTTTACAAGCTCAGAAAATTCGATTCTTTCATTTTTCCGCGAGTTTTTTTAGTTCCTTTCCGAAAGGAAAATTGAAAAAAGCGGCTTTTTAAGTTATAATTATTTTGTATCTGGGGATACTCGGGTATCCAAATTTGCAGATACTATTTGAATATCTGGAAATAAAAAATCTTCTCNTTTTTTTTTTTTTTTTTTTTTTTTTTTTTTTTTTACATAGATATGTCCCCATCATTTATATAAAAGTGTCCAAATACTACTTAAAAATTCCCAAACTCATAGTACTATCCGGATATTTGGATACCAAAAACTTACAAATATTATCTGCATATACAAAACCAAAGTTTGTTTAATGGAATTATGTTTTTCTTTGAATATATTTTCCTCGTAAATTTCTATAAAAATGTTACGGTTAAATCAACGACAAGTGAATATTACACGACATATATCATACTTTATTTTGACATTTTAATACAAAACTAAAAATTTCGTAGAGTATTCACTTTTTTTTTACTTCATCTTGATACTTTTACCCATAGAATGAAAAAGGAACCGGGATAAACCCGAAAAGCTTAAATCCGTCGGGGGAATACTCGAGATATCCGACTTACCCGGAAGTGACAGACCACTAGACGTAAACGCGTTCGCGCATAATTGGGATACATTTCTCGGCGAGGAACTTACCGTCAGTGCGCGGCGCAGTGACGGAAGACGATTCGACGGGGCGAGCGGACATTCCGTTCGCCGGGGTTAGAGAGAGAAGCGATCGTCGCGCGATGTCGCGGGTAACTGTATAGGGATTCTTTCGACGCGCTCGACTTGGCACGAAGAAACGCCGTCGTGTCCTGCTTTTCGATCGGAGGGAAGATACCACGGACCTCCTAGATCGTCTAGGTCGTTCGGGATTGATCCGCCTGACGACGGCGACACGACGATCTCGCGAATCTTCGCGCTGCGGACAAGTGATTTTTCCGCCCGTAGCGAGAATCGATGTCGATTCGATACCCTTCGAGTGACGAGCGACTGTTGCCGCAGCGTCTCGACCTTCGTTCCTCTACATCTTCCAATTCGTGCTCGACGGAAGCATTGCTCGCGTAATATCCGGTAACCTCCTTTCCGCCGATCGCGACCGATGACCGTTCGCTCAACGATCGGTTCCCGCGGACACGAGATACGCATACCTGACCGCCGTCGGCAGTCACGGCGATAAAGCCGCCACTGTTAAAGGATTTATAAGGATCGTTAAAGGAGGCGCGGAACGTTGAATTTGTGATTTGACCTGGGGCTCGCCTCATCTCTCCGTATTCCGACGCACGGTCGTTCGCACCGTGCGTCTCTACATTTATGGCCGTTGGCCTAATTTACATGTTATCAGCATTATATAATTCAGCATGTTTATTACACGCTCCTTCATTACGATGGAATATGTGATTATGTGATTTTCACGGGTGCTACCCAGGTACACCCGAACGCCCAATGTCGCCGATAACCGCATACATATTTATTTATATGGACGTCTGACTAGGTGTATTAAAAAAACGATGATTGTATTTTTTAAAACTGGAATTAGCTTTCAAGTGTCCTTGACGTGTCTAACCAAGTACAATCTTTCAGATAGAAATGTCCACCTCTCGAAGTTCCATAACGTCCCAGCGTAAAAGCATGTTTTGATATCTCGCTTACTTTCGCAGAGATTCAAGTATCTTCACTAAAATGGGATATCCTGTATACATAATTGCTTTTTTATTTTACACGTTACGAATATTTGAAATTTACGCCGCGCTAATAGAAATGTTTCACAAACGTAACGCAGAGTTGCCATAAGTCTGAAAAATCGGGTAAACTGGGAAAAATTATGGAAATTTTAAATTGATCAAGGAAAAACTGGAAATCAGGAAGATATAAAAGTGCTTGGAATTTTTAACTTTGCTCACACTTCCCTTAAATACTCTCAAATGCATGTTTATTTCCAATGCTCATTTTTTTTGCTTGAATTTGCATTCAGGATTAATATTATGTTTCTAAACTTCTTAAGTTTGTGTCGCTTCTAATAATATAACCTACCTTTCCTGCAATTCTTGCTTTTAAACGTTAAAATTTCAGATTACGCATTAATCGTGGAAAATTCTCCACTGTCGTCTGGAAAGCATGAAAAGGGAATTTGAAAATTAATTTTTTGTGGCAATCCTGATAATGTCTGTATTTATATAACGAAAAACCAACAGAAGTAAGAATGAAATTGAGCGGAATATGTCGCGCGAGTCCTCGATAAGCCTATGGATCCCAGTTAATCGGCCTTTCGGAAAAATCTGCGCCCGCATGTCTCGACCGAAGGCAACGGATGAGACTAACGTGCTCTATGCTGTGTCTATCGTGGTGCAGTCACCTCACGGATATCCGGTACGGATAGGGTGCATATACGCGTACGTTTCTCGACGTTTCGTAGTGTCGGCTTGTTGTTTCGTCGGATAGCGTCATATCCTTTTATCTTCGCATCTCCTTCGCACCCTCCATGGGTCTTTCGCACATAATTCTTCCGCTATTTTTCCGCATTGTACCAGTATCTCGGTGAATAAATATTCGGATACTTTTTCATCATTTTTGGCACCAATTAAATTATTTTGTTATCCTGAGAAAAAAGTAACAGCAATATGAAATTATTGTCGATGATATTAATTACCGATTTAATACTATCGTAGTATTTAACGCAAACATGAGTTTCCTGGCTGTAATCATTTTAATTTATTTTTATTAATTTAATTTATTTTTATTTATTTCATTGAGCGATTATAGTCGCAAATATTGAACTTTTTTTTTCTCTCAATACGATGACCCGTTTCGCTATGCGAATTTTACGCGAAAATTGTCGGGAAGTGCCAATTTCGAAGCGTTATGTATTTTCTCTCTTAGATCGACGTGTTTTCTTCTTTCATTCATCTCGTCCGGATTTTCTACTTATCCGATTTACGACGATATCCAACGTGATATTCGATCGTGTTACATTCTTGCGACAATGAGGTCTCAAGGGAAAAGCGATTACGATAACGAGCTTGGAAATACGCAGCGCCGATACGGACGTGCCGAAACGGACCGGCTGTCTAACATCCGAGGCAGCCGAGCGGACTTTAACGATCGACGCATGCAACTGCGTCCGGTGTAAGCGCGAAGAGTATCGGCTTTCAATCACCTGCACCCGTGCAGTGCCCACGAGCGCGTCCAGCCGGCTCCAGCTTTCTTTCGTGCCGAATTCGTTGCGCTATTGCGCCGGGAACTCGCCATGAGAGAAACGATGTAGCCCATATTAGCAATTATAGCGGCAAACCGCGACTGTCCGGGATCGCACCAACGAAATCCGTCTCAGAATCGAAATGATTGAACGAAGATTTCATCATCGGCTCTTATATGTATCTTTGACACGCGTCATTTTATCGGTTCGTAGAAGCGAGGTCGGGCGTTTACGTGTAAAGTATGATAGTTTATGTCTACGCGTAAACAATGTAAACTAAATGTCATGTGTCATCTCTGGACAAGTAATCTAAACGTTATGGAGCGGCTCGTCTTCCTCTTACATTTTTTAAGTCTTATTTATATATTTTTTTCTGTTAAAAACTCACAGGTTAATCTGAATGATAATATTTGTATATTAACATCTTTTATATTATTATACGGATATTTTAAATATTCGTAAAGTGTACTTTATATCTAACTGTACCTAACTTATTAAAAATTGATGAAATCACTTGGTTTAAACATAATGACACAATTTTAGTATTTTACGATGCCATGAAAAATCAATAATAGATTTAGCGAAGTTGATTTAGCGAAGTTGATCTTACGTTGAAAAAAGAAAAGATAAGTATTATATGCATATCGTGCCTATTGTAATCACGGAGAACACTTTTTTCTGTTAAAAATTCCACAGGTGGATTTAAATGATAAAAATTCTGTTATCCGCGTGCGTCAATTTTTTAATTTTTAATATTAAATATCTTCATAATTAACATCAAAATCGGATATGAACTATTTTATAGTTTACACCAATAATTTGTCTTTTCTTTTTGCACACACTGTGTTTAATTTATAATATTTTATATAGTTTACATTGTCTACGTGAAAATACAATTTAACGCGAAGGGAACCTGGCGGTCTTTAACGTAAATGCAATCAGGACCCTCCGTCTTTGTCTCTGTGCATCGTATTGTATTTATTACATCTACGTTACAACGAGAAAAATATGCTCGGCCAGTTTGAATCGGAAACCGAGCACTCGGCAGACCGTGCAGACGCGATTACCGGAAGATCGAGCAGAAACGTGAATGGCACACGCGCCGATATCCGTTCTCTTCTTTTTCTCGGCTCGAGCAACC